GCTTTTATTCTAATGAATGTTTGGTGGTGATTGGGTGTAGATCCAGGCAGGCACTGCTGATTCAGGTTTTCTGAAGGTGGCGAGACTGGGGTAGCTTGACTTGAAGGTCAGTGGAGAGATATTATTTAGGGCTTAAGTTTTCTGAAGTAGCAGGTAACCCCACAACCCAAATGATTCTCTGTAGTCCCCATTCCCTTTTGCACTTATATACATTAGGATAATTCATGACAGACTTAAGACTATGTCTGCTGACCTGCCAGTGAAGTTTCTTTCACTCTATCCCTCTGTCTGTTTTCTCTCTCCGGAGGGCTGACAGATCTCAGAGGAAACATTAGTCTCGGGTCTGAGGCCATGTCCTCCCTAATAGTTTCATTCAAAATGCTGGCTTGTGTCATCAGAATGATATAATCAGAGGATTATTAGGTCACTAGTGGTGATTTATTTCAAGTCAACCTGAAATTTCATTCACAACCATTTTGCTTTTATTGTGTGACATATTTTTGAATCAAGTAGAGATTATTTAATGCAGGACTTGGTTTTACCATCTGGAGTTGATTGGATCATAAAAAAATGGGTGTTAGGTAGAAAACTGGAGTCAGGCGGTTGACTGTTTGGCTTATTTTGAAGAAATATTACAAAGACAAACATTTTAGCACCGATAAGTCATTCACAATAAGTCCAGGAATGTGTATTAACCATGTAAAGCCTAACATAATAGTCAGGAAAGACCAATTTTTTAAATGGAACATTTAGTTTGCATATGTGTTTTTTTGTTGAGTATCATATTTGATACTTCAGGCTTTTATAGTCCATATTGTGATATAGTAATACAGAGAATCATACTTGAGGAGAAAGTTTTAATCAGAGGCCCGAAATGGAGCAAAATGTTGCAATTTACTGCAGTTGCTGATATTTATATGGCCAAAAATTGAGATAAAATTGATAGATTGTAATGTAAATTAAATGCAAAACATATAATGAAATGCAATACAATGAGGACTGTGAGATGAATGTTAATAAATGTTCCTCAAAATCATGATGACACATTATTTGATACTCACACTTTAACTTTTTTTTTTAAATTATATATGGATAATCAAGTAAACCTAAGTTGCTTCAGTCTAACCAACAAAAGTTAACTAACAAAATAAAAGTTATTCTTACGTTTATTTTATAAAGATCGGTATGGATTATACAGCAAAAAAAAAAAAAAAATGTGTACCATGACCTTAAGGGGGACGTTTTTAGAATTTCACTAAAAGGCCGTTTACTTGCTAAGAAAGTATAAACTATCAATCAGGCAGTAGAAAGATTTGATCATGTTCATAATTTAGAGGGTTCAGAAATTAGCTTATCAAATATGATACAGTTTTTATAGGGATAAGAAAGTAAATATGGTCAATATTGAATTTATGTTGAGTTTAATGTGTGTGTTCTGCATTCTGTTGCTTTTCTTTATTTTCTTATACATACATTGGCTTCTTTGACTTTCAGATGACCGTCTGGGAGGCTGACTGGCTGTCAGTTAGAGGGCAGAGCACTTGGACAGGCTTTTAGGCTCTTATACGCTCTTGAACAGGGCAATAAAAGCCCCTCCATCATGGCGATGGCCGAGGCAATGCCCTCAATTACATCACCCTCCCCTCCAGCCCATCTCCTCTCCTCTGTTCGCCCTTTCCAATTATTCTCTGTCTGTTTGTGATGTCCCTATTTCATCTTTCTCTCTCCCTCCTCCCTCGCCCTCCTTCTAGAATGATGTCATTTGATATGAGGAGAAAATGTGGCCTACTGACCCTTGAGATGCATCTCGTCTATGCTGAAATTAGTTCTTTGTTTCAGCTGCTGCCAGACAGCCGTGTTTCAAACACACAGCTCTTCATCACTGCATCTGTCGGGCCCCGTGCCAGCCCTTTTAGTGCTCTGTGGGTTGAAAATCATTCCTATCCATTTTACATCTTTGTCCTTTTAATATATGAATATTTTTTTCCTATATTATACAGAGGGAGGGAGAAAGAAAGATTATTTTTTAACATTTTCAATGTAAAGTTTATTTGCAACAAACTTGCAGTTATGCAGCCAATTTGAGCTAAGGCATTTGACAAAAAGCTAATTTGCATGCAATCCTGTTCAATTTTCACCAAGAGTTCACCACAGGGATTTTTCAGAACACTATCCTTTTCTCCTTTTCAGAGCTCATACTCTGAGGAAAAACACACCTCAATTTTATTCAGAGGTCTAAAATGATTAAAAATATGCGATTTAGTGCAGGTTCTTATATTTATATGGTCAAAAGGTAAGATGAAATTCTGATAGCTTGTAATGTCAATCAAATGAGATATTTATAACAGCAGACTACTTACATAAAATGCATATAAATATCACGTATCGCTCTATATCTCCCAATAACATGTCTTAAATATTTAAATGCTTAGTTTTAGGATCAAAGCTGTGTATTTATTGTGGGGGTAAAATAATGCAATGCAATATAATAATGATTAAGAGATAATAAATAAACATTGCTTAAAAGCCTGATGTATCATATTTGATACTCACATTTTGACATGTTTTTTTCTAAAATTGATGGAATATGAATAAAATATGGATAATCAAGTAAGCCTAAGTTAAGTCCACTAAGTGTTCATCTTTACATATTACTAACAATATAACATTAATTCTTATGTTTACTTTATAAAAATAAAGATTTCACAGCAAAATGACAATATGCTAAATAAACCCCTTTGTCATAGGGATTTTTTTTTTTTTTGTAGTAAAGATAATGTGAAATGCAGTTTAATTGCCAGTAAGAAATATTAATGTGTGGTCACGACTATTGGCAAGTTGGGAAAACAGTTATTCAACGGCTCCTTGTACAGTTAGTCTAGTTAGATTGGACCACATTCAAACTCTCTGCAGGGTCTATTTTTGCCAGCATTTGTTTTATAGGTGTCTTTCTGTAAGTGTTTGTTATCGTGTAGCTAAAACAACTGCCAAGGTGCCAGTAAAAGTATCAGTAAAATTCCTACCATCTCTTTTTCACTCACTCTATTTTTCCAGAGCCTAAGGGGACTTATAGCGTCATGCTCAGCCAGAGTCAGTTTATTGTTAATTTATGAGTCTTCTTGTTGGCCCAGTGGCTGGGCTCAATATAGCATCACATATTGGGTCATTGGGCGGCAGTGTGTCAGATTAAGTGCAAGCCTTGTTTTAGTTCCCTCTTACTGCTCAGCAGAGGGTTGGATCAACAGGGGTGCATTGTTTGAGATGGTATTAGATACACTCAAGAACCCCTCTGGCCTACTGCCCCAAATTTGTGTTTTTGTGTTTTTCCACACTCATGGACTGTTTTTGGAAGTGGAATGACCTGGTTGGTGTTCAATGTCAAATGAAACGTTCTGACATAGCAAATTATACGCCTTCATCATTTGTCTGTCAAAAACTAAGTGTGCCTCCAGTAGATGTTGTCTCAGTTTGTCATTGTCTGTTAAAAAGGTGGTCACTGCACACTTTTCTTTTCAAAATGAAGACTGTTCATTAAAAGACACCTTCTTCAGTTCCCATACTTGACTAGATGTCAGTGCTAACACATTTGATTACAGGGTGAAAAATGTTCATGCATAAGTGCTTATTGTTGAATTGGTGGAATATCTGTCGCTTTGCTCTCAAGCCTAAGGAGCTCATGCTTGCAAATATTTGAAGTTAAAATCAAACAGGAGAGGCATTTATTTAGTAAATATCAATCATTTAGTATTACATTAGTATTAGAATTGGGCCTGTTTCCTCTCATACTCCACCCAAAAATGAAAAGTTTTGCACGGATGTTTCTTAAGAAAAAAATCTAGTTGATTTGTATGTAATTATAAAAACTCAAGAAATACAATGTTCAAATCAGTACTACTGATATATTAGCTTCTATCCAGAATTGACTTCATATTAGCATTAAGGGATTTAAACTGTTAAAATGTATGTTGATGCTGTGACATATGGTTATACGACCTTAAAGGACCCTGTGTGATAGTATTTCTACTTGTAACATGTATTTATTTTAAAGACCCAATGTATATCAGAAGGGTGTATGACCAGTATGTTTCTGAGGGCCTCTTTGCACTCATGTCCATGGTACTTTTTCTCCCTGGCAGAGATCCAGGGTCCTGCAGGGCCTGTGCAGACTTGTGCTGCCTGGTGGGTGTTCCTGCGTGGGGGTGATGGAGGTTGCGGTCCAGTAGGTCTGGACTGTGTCCAGCAAGTGTTGTTGGGCCAACTAATTTAAACAAAGAGGGACAGACACTTGAGATGTATGTGTTTGCGTGTGTAAAAGAGAGAGGGAGACAGAATGAGACCACAATGTGCGGTTAGGTTTATACACTCAATTAGACTAAAATTGTCTCATCAAATATACTTTTAGTGGAACACTGTTTCAGTTCCCATTTTGTTGCAGGTGTTCATAATGCTTCATTTCTTTTCTTAAAGTATACACAGTACCGTGTCTTCAAAGTATATAGTATATATTGATAAGACAAGGTCTGAGTGTTATTTCCAGTCAATGTGAAAATCGTTTGTTAGACTTGTTAGAGGAAATTAAATATGTAGGGTCAGTTTAGCACTTAGTGGTCCTGTTTCAACCTTTGAGGAGAAATAAAAGTATATAAGCACAGTGAACAGACTGTCTATCAGACTGTAAACCCACTTACTGAGTATCTGTGATTCTCAAAGCATTCAGCCACTTTAGATGAATCTTTAATGAGCTCAAGGCCATTAAAGGAAAGAGACTTCACACTGTCAGCCATTTTCTGTGTAGAAATCCTCTCGGTTTCTACATAACCTACATCTGATGAGGAGCAAATCCTGATTCATGTGTGACTCCAGAGGAGGAATGGAAACAAGTTGGAAGTGTTTATGTCATTCCTTTATGGACGTGATGGAAGTTGTCTGGTTATACAGCTGTGCGCTGGTTAAATGTATAACGGAATGATTTTGTCTTTTTTTGCATGTTCTTGTGTAAGGGAGCTGTTCTCCTCTGAATATCAGGAGATATGGTACAATCCGAATGGAGGCCGTCAGTTTTCCAGGCCTTCCAACAGGGTGAGTGCAGGAGCCGTTCCACAATCATTTACTTCTAAATTACACATGAATAACTCATATTGTCATGGTAATCTTATGATAAACTGTGTTGTTGCAGTAAACTAATAGGCTCTAAAATAAAAAGTAATTTGTTTTGCTTCACCTTTATCAGTGTTTAAAATGATTCCGTATGTGTGATGTTAATGTTGTGAAAGTAATTCTAGATTATATAAAGCAATAAGAAATCCATTACGCATCATTACTTTTTTAAAAATTCAGAACAAGTTTCCTCCTTTCCTCTGATGTTATATTAAGTTGTTTTGGTTTCAGGATCACTGTTATTATCATGGGTCAGTCAAAGGGATCCAGGGGTCAGGTGTGGTCTTCAGCACCTGTGCTGGACTCAGGTAAGGACTACAGGAGATCTGCATACTATACATGCGTATTATGTGAAATTTTCTTTTTTTAAATTTTTTTTTATATTGCATGTTCAATAGATCAAAGTAATATTTTAGAGTGACAAAAGGGTTACAATGGCATATGTGGGGAGTTTGAGAAGTCATTTTTAAAATCTTTTTTAAATTATTTTTGCAATTCCTCTTGGTGCCACTAGTGGTTCAGAAATCACACATTCCACATTTAAAAATTATGATAACTCATACTGTGAGCTATAGCTTCATTTTCTGATTTATACATGATACTCTTCAAAAGAAGTGTCCTAAAAATACAATACATTTATTTCTTATTTATTTTATTTGTATTTCTTATATTTATTGCATTTTATTTTATTCCAATTTTATTTTCTTTTGTTTATCAGATTTACATTTTATAGTGAAGCATTATCATGCAGAACCGTGTCCTGGTTAGTATTTGGGACTTTCACAAAACCATTTTAGTTCTATTTCCAAAACTGTCAGACTCTTAAAAACTTCAGCTTTAGTGACATGACTTTGCAGCATGAGGACATGTTTTCGTTGTGCAAAGGTTCTAGTTTATTAGCCCAGGATGAAAAGTGAAAAGCAGTTTATAGTGTATACACACACACTTCCAGATGATTTTCACAGCTGTGGTGTATGATTCCACTGAATGAGAACAATGAAAGCTTTTTTTCTAGTGTTTTATGTATCATAGACATGTCAACATGCAAGCATGTTTGTAGTTGACATTCAAAAATCTGGTTAACATCATTAAGCGTTCTGCAACTTTGTAGGACACTCGTTTCTACAGAAAGAAGCAACATTTATAGACAAGTAGCGTTCGCATAAATCTTAATCTTATTTGGTTTTGGCTTCTTGTTGTGCCTTATTATTTTGCATTTCTGCAGTGGAAGCATTTTTATTGATAGTTGGTCGTCAGTGCACATCTGTGAAGCATTGTGTGTGTAAATACACTTATGTTTGGGGAAAACTGTGATATCCAGGAAGCAAGGAAATCTGTTTTTGCTTAAATAACCTAGTTCAGCATAAACACAAGTTGGCTATCAATTCAGTTTTATTCCCTTTCTTTCTTCACCCTCCCATCCGGTATAAAGATAATTTTTATCTGTGGTGGAGCTACTCTGCTTCCTGTGCAAAACCCAGCTGAGAGGTTTCCATCCTGTCGGCCTGTTTAAATATCCATGACTCTCATTTTCCCCTTTATCAGTGAATCTCAAAGTTTAAACATCTTTGTGATTGGCATATTGTCTTCTCGATCCCCAGGGGCATGATAACAGTCAATAACAGCGTGAGCTACATGATCGCACCGCTAGCTAACCAAACACACTCTCAGGGACATGCCATATTCAACGCTCAGAGCCTGAAACTGCCAGTGGGCACCTGTGGACACTACCATGGAGACGGGAATCACTTGGAAAGCCTTCAAGAGCTGATTGATGTCATGGCAAAGCCTCAGCAGACCAATAGGGTGAGATCATGGGTAACATGGGATTCCTGTACAAGAACCCTTGAACCAAACACAAACTAGGGATCTTCTCGGATCAGTCTATGTTTTATCTTAATGTTTGCTTCACCATCAAAGAGTTCCAACAGCATTTGTCATGAATATGGTACATTTTGGTGCCCCATGGCATTTTTAAAGCATTAATTTTTTTGTTTTTGTTTTGATAAACTTAAAATTAATCTAGCGTAAAAACTAGATAGTTATAGAAACAATAAATGTCTGTATACCACTTTTAATGATACATTTGGCCTGTCAACACAGAGGTCTTGACCTTCTATATCCAACAATTGAAATCAAAATGTATTCATTTAACTGCATCCAGAAAAAATATATTTACATTTTTAAATATATTTCAAAAACAGATTTTTTTTTTTTTTAATTTGCCAAAAATGAAATACTATTGTTAATTTCAAAAATATATTTCTATAAGCTGCGCTATTTACATTAGCATATATTTGAAATATATTTTGGCCAGATAATTTTTGTTTAATGTTTTTTGCTAGAAGATTGCAAAAATCAGGTTTTGAATTGTATTTACTCACATTTTGTTTACAGTGTTGCAAAAATGTATAGGAAATGAATATAAAATATTATAATACTTAGTTTAACCTCCTAAAGTTGACAGTAGACATTTCCTGGTTAAGCACCTTCTTTCACTGATGATTTGTTTTTTTTTGTTTTTAAAAGGTGGGGGGGAAAAAAGAGTTCAGGCCCTATTTTGTATTCATGGAAAGTACCAGATAATAAAATTGTTATTTAAATAAATGTGAAGAGCTGACTAAAGTGGTACTAAACCAAGGACACATTGTTCTTGCGTTGGCATACATGAATAGAGTGTCTGTCCCTATCCGAAGACACAGGATGTCCCCCAGTTCCAATTAGTCGTGTCTCACAGTATTTAAATTCATAAACTTTTTTGAGGCAGTGACTCAGCACTTCTTCTGTAGTATATCAAATTAGCCTATGCTCAGCCATATCTTTTCTATCTCTTCCTACAGGAAAGAAGGGATGTCAGCAGTAGCATGAAATACGTGGAGCTCATGGTGGTGGCTGACCATGCAGAGGTAAAATCATTTAACTTCAGGTATCTGCTGAAAAGCAATGGTTTCTTGGGGAGCTTCGAGAGATGACAGTGATTCTTGTCTTATTCACCTTAATGTAGATTTACTCAAACAGACAGATAAAAATACAGAAACACCATGTTTAAATTGTTCTATCAGTAAACTATTTCAAACTGCTTGGTTAGCATAAGAGGCTTCTTTCAAAGAAAGGTGATTACTAGGTGGTGGTTTTTTGGCCCTAATCAAATGGCTCTTTAGCAAACACTGCTAATAATAATCTCAGTATTTATTTCTGTGATTAAAGCATTCAGACAGTTTGTTCTTGGGTTTTAATCAGCATTTTTTTGTAGGACATACTTATCACATAAATCATCACAATTGTAAGCCGGGTGGTTGCTTTGGATAAAAGTGTCTGGTAAATGACAATGACAGTTACCTGACAGCTCTGGAGCTTCAGATCTTGTCTGTTTGTTGACTCACTCCACTGTACCTCTGCAGATAAGGCTTGTTTCCTGTCATGACTCAGAATAGCTGACCTGTAATCACCACCTACATGACACAGTTAATTTCAGCCATCTAAGGTCAAAGATGCATCCTAATAGGTTCTCTTTTTCAGTTTGTGAAGCACGGTCGGGACCTTGAAAGAACCAAAACAAAGCTGCTTGAAGCAGCTAACTTTGTGGATAAGGTGAGAATGCTGTGAATCGTACTATTAAACACACTTTTTATCATTTACGTGCTTCTGGACTCAAATATATTATTTGATGTTCCCAGTATTACAAATCACTAAACATCCGTGTGGCTCTGATCCGGTTGGAGATCTGGAATGATCAAGACAAGATCACTGTGACCAACAACCCCTACAGCACCCTGGGTGCATTTCTGGCCTGGAGGAGGAAACAGCTGCCACAGCTGCCCAATGACAACGCTCAGCTAGTAACGTCAGTCTCACTGTAGCTCCTCCCACCTCACTAACATATCATCAGATAATAACAATCACTGATAATGATCTTCTTTTAAAAGGGGAGTTTTAAAATTCTGTCATCATTTATGTACTCTCATGACGTTCCAAAACTGAATGAAATTTGGCAAAATTTTACAGTCCACCATCCATTGTCAAGTGTAGCAATACATGAAGCTTTCTGTTGGTCAAACCGGTGAATTCAGAAGTAAAAACTTCGAAATCTGTGTGTGGAAATCTTTTGCCCTCACAACTTGAGAATATGAATCACTTGGATTCCTATAGAAATGACTGGATATTGCAGACTAAAATTCGCTGAACAACGTAAAGTGACCGCACTTTACGTTTTATTCTGCAGAACCCAAAAGGAGAAGTTTTAAAAACACGAAAGTTGCAAAAAGGACATACAAGTAGTCCATAATGCTCTATAATCCAAATCTCCTCAAGCGATATGATAGAGTTGTGTGAGAAACAGATATGTAATGGTGTTTCCTCTCCCTTTGTGTTCCACATGGGTTTGGAAGGAAATGTGAGTGAGTAAATGACACAATTTTCATTTTTGGGTGAACTATCCTTTTAAATGATTATATCTGTTCAGCTAGGCAGTGCATTTGGTTCCTCCATGGTTTTATTGGAATTTCACCAGTTGTTTTTGTTGTGTTTGTAGGGGTGTGTCGTTTCAGGGCACCATCATTGGTCTGGCTCCCCTTAAAGCCATGTGTTCTGAATACCAGTCTGGTGGAGTCAATTCGGTAAATTTACCTCCAGCATTATTCCATTGAGTTTTTATAGCCGTGTGCACTCAGTTTTTGTTTCGTCTGCCTCTCTCTCTGTAGGACCACTCTAACAGTGCTGTGGGTGTCGCTGCCACCATGGCTCATGAGATGGGGCATAACTTTGGTATGAGCCACGATAGTCCAGGCTGCTGTCTCGCTCAGCCTGAGGATGGAGGCTGCATTATGGCTGCTGCCACAGGGTGAGAACCAAAGAAAAAGATGCTATATAATTTCAAGCCTGCATAACTTTAGTAAATGATGACAGATTTTCCATTTTTGGTGAACCGTCACTTTAAAATCAACTCTGCATAAAAGTCAATGTTCTTCAGGGATCCATTCCCTCGTGTCTTCAACCCCTGCAATCAGAAAGAGCTGAAGCGTTACCTGAGCTCTGGCGGGGGGAAGTGTTTGTTCAACCCTCCCAACACCAGGGTCATGTACGGGGGCCAGCGTTGTGGAAACGGATACCTGGAGGAAGGAGAAGAGTGTGATTGTGGAGAAGTGGAGGTCAGGAGAGAGTTTCATTGCTTCCCGTCTCATTTACTCCCACGCTGTGATTCTGATTGATCTTTGACTCTCACATTTTCCGATTCTGTTTCCTTTACTTCAAAGGAGTGCTCAAGTCCCTGTTGTAATGCCAACAACTGCACGCTGAAGATCGGAGCCGAGTGCGCACATGGAGTTTGCTGTCATGAGTGCAAGGTGAATCCCTGCCAGACTCATCTCACGCTCTCTCTATGCCCTTTCCTGTGGTGCAGCATCAGAAAAACTGAGTAATGAAATGAAAATTAAAGACTTCAGTGTGAATTTCTGAATGTGATTTTTAAAGGGGACATCGGATGCAAAATTCACTTTTACATGGTGTTTGCATATAAGTGTAGGCACAACCACCCTACAGTGATAAAACTCCATTCACTCCTTTTTTTAATCCCCAAAAAACCTAAAGAAAAGTAAACATAAGAGTCTTTATTTTGTCCCAACATCAGAGCCACTGAAGACGCAGTGGATTAGTTTTATTTTTAATGGTAAGGTGTCACTGAATACACAAGAGAGGGGCGGGGTGAGCAGTAGCTCATTATCATTTAAAGACGCATGCACACAAACTAGTCGCTGTAAACAGAGCTGTTTCTGACCCGGTAAAAAGGGTGTTGTTTTACATGACCATTGAGGAATTTTAAACAAAGTATGTTACAGACATTTCATGAAGACCCTAAAGGTCTTTCCTCATACCAACTTGTGGAAAATGGGCATCTGATGTCCCCTTTAAAGTGTTGAATATAATTAAATAAGTAAATAAGCAAGCAAACAAACAAACAAAAATGATTTTTAGTGTGAATTTAAAGTTTTGGTGACTTTAAATGGTATGAACGAATGAATAAACAAACAAACAAATAAACAGAAAATTATTTATGAATGTAATTTTTAAGTGTTGCTTTAAACGGTGTGTAAAAATAAATAAAATACACTTGGTTTTGTGGTGAGTTTAATAAGCAAATAAATAAGCAAACAAACAAACTAACAAATAAGGGATTTTCTAAAAAGCTTCGGTGACTTAAAATGGAAAGAAAAATGTAATATTAAAGTTTTTAAAGTAATTCTTTTATCCTTAATTATTATGTCAACTAATACAACAAAGCATTTATACTCAGGATGTGAAATCTGCAAAATGTTTTGCAATTAAATTGTTATAATAATATTATTATTATTATTTAAAATGTAGACAGGCTTTTTAGGGTATTTTTGCTCTCAAATGTCTATTGCTGAAAGTGTATTTCTCTGGCTCTATTTTAAGAAAAACGCGTTGTATTGTAAATGTATACAGTTTGGTCAGTTTGTTTTCTCACACTCTTAACTAGCTGAAGAGTCCAGGAGTGATGTGCCGTCCACCTTCAGGCTCCTGTGACCTGCCTGAGTACTGTGATGGGAAATCAGAGTCCTGTCCTGCTAACTTTTACTTGGTGGATGGCAGCAGTTGCGCGGGTGGCAGTGCCTACTGTTACACAGGAATTTGTCTGACGCTGGAGCAGCAGTGCCTCTCTCTCTGGGGCAAAGGTCTGTGTCTGCTAAAGTCTGCTAAAAGTCCCACAGTTTAAAAGTAACACCATAAAATCAAGCAAAAATCTGTGAGTCATGGTTTCTACTAAAATAGCAGCACAACATTGATGAAAATAAATGTTTTTTGAACAGTAAATGATTTCTGAAGGATCATGTGACACTGAAGACTGAAGTAATGATGCTGAAGATTCAGCTTTGTCATCACAGGAATAAATTACATCTTATTTAATTTTCCAGTGGCAGTGTACTGTAGTTTACTGTAAGGCAGATACTGTGCTTGGCTGTGATCTTAGTATCTGAATGCGAGGCCATCTGCTCATCAGAGAAAGCCTTTGAGTCCAGCTGAGTTATATTACATAATATAACTTACGCACAACCATTAACTTGAGACGTGAGTATGTGTGTCTCTTCTGTTCTATTTCTGCTGTAAAGCTAATTTTCTGTCTCTATGTCTTAGATGCCCGTCCTGCTCCCGATCTTTGCTTTACTGAGGTAAATAAAGCAGGTGATCCCTATGGAAACTGTGGCAGTTTCATGGGTACATACAAGAAATGCACTGAAAGGTGAGTTGCATTTAATTATAGTAGCACTACCGGTCAAAAGTTTGGAATAATTACGTTTTTTTAATGTTCTTGAAAGAAGTCTCTTTTTCTCGCTAGGGCTGCATTTATCTGATCGAAATTGCATTAAAATAATAATTTTTGAAATATTAATATAATTTCAAAAAACTCTTTTCGATTGTAATATATTTTAAAATGTAATGTATTCCTGTGATGCAAAGCTGAATTTTCAGCATCATTACTCCAGTCTTCAGTGTCACATGATCCTTCAGATATCATGAAACATTTCTTATTAGTGTCATTGTTGAAAATATTTTGAAGTTTTTGCTGCTTAATATTTTTGTGGAAACGGTGATACAATACCATTCATACGTTTGGGGTAAGAAAGATTTTTTAAAAGAAAGAAAAAGAAATTGATATGTGTTACGTATCCGGTCCATGAACTTCCGTCTGCTAGCCACTTGTAAACATTCTATTTATCAAAAAATCCTGAAAAAAATATTAGGCAACAAAAGCTGTATTCAACATTGATAAGAAGAACTATTATTAAAGGGGTCATATGATGCTATTTTAAAGATCATTATTTTGTGTATTTGGTGTAACAGAATATGTTGACATGCTTTAATGTTCAAAAAACATATTATTTTTCAAATACTGTACATTATTGTAGGTCCTCTATGCCCCGCCTCTCTCAAACACCTCAGCCCCCTCCTTTGACAAGCGCAGTCTGCTCTGATTGGCCAGTTGACCCAGTGCATTGTGATTGGCCGAACACCACAAGCACGCGTCGGAAATGTAACGCCCCTTACCATAATCGCGAGCTTCAGCTTTCAAAGTAAATATCAAGACAGTTAATAATGTCGTTATTTTTACCATCAGTGCCCGAAAGGGAAACAGAGTCGCTCGCGTGACAGACACAGTGATGATGCTCGTATGTATTTGCAGTACACAAGCCGCGATTAAGAAAGCTGACTCCACTGTGATGTGACCCTGTCTCTCTCTCTCTCACACGCAAGCGCACACACACACAACGCAAAACTCAGCTTTTGAAAATACTTAAACTATTAAGAAAACGTACTTACAGTCGCTGATTCAGAATAAGCACCAGATTGTCATTGTCAGCCTTGTAGGCTACTCAGGTTCACAAAACTGTCGTCCATAAAATGCGTTGCACAAATTCGAACATCTGGTTTGTGCTGTTCTGTTGTAAATAAATCTTAACCAATGATTCCTCATTGCATCTACTTTCGGAAGGCCAAATAAAGTGCTTTTGCTTTCGTACAGAATCACACAGCGTCTCCCTGACATGGCTGCATCAACACTACTGCTGTTCCTGAAACCACGCCTTCTTTCTTTGCATGAACATTTGGGCGGCATTACGCAAATATTTCCACATCGTGACGAAGACGATGTGGGGGCGTGTTTGAATGAGGCATTTTAGCCCGGTCTGGATCAGCCTTCTCTTTTAGATAGAATATCTTTAATGTTTGAGCACCAAATCAGCAAATTATTTCTTTCAATTTAAATTGTAATAATATTTCACAATATTACTGTTTTTAAATCTATTTTTGATTCAATAAATGCAGCCTTGGTGAGCATTAGAGATTTCTTTGAAAAACATCAATAAATCTTAATTATTCCAAATTTTTGACCAGTAGTGTATGTCATCATCATTTGGGCCGATCAAAGACGTGCTGTTGGTTCTTTGTTTAGGAATGTTAAATGTGGGAAGATTCAGTGCATGAGCGCTGCCAGCAAGCCTTTAGAATCCAACGCCGTCGCCATAGACACCAACATCCGGAATGGTCAACAGAAGATCCTGTGTAGAGGGACACATGTGTACCAGCGCGGTCAGGGTAATGAGGACCAGAGTGACACCCTAGACCCGGGCCTGGTTCAGACTGGGACCAAATGTGGGGAGAATGCGGTAGGTACTGATAGACTGAATGGATCTAATAACATTAGATTGATTAAAGTGTATCAAGAATTTATTTCATTAACTTTTGCTTCATTTCCTATCCGAACAGATCTGTTTTGAAGGGGAATGTCGCAATGCGTCCTTCCTGCAAGCCGATGAATGCAGTTCCAAATGTCATGGCCACGGCGTAAGTCCATATTACTTATTTCTGCATAGAACTGAGTGAACTTTATTGTACATAGATGGTCATCTTATAGCTACTGTCCTGAAGCATTTCCTGTTTACATCATTTCCTCTAACAGTAAATACCATCTATAACATCAGTGGAAAAAAATCCCTCACTATTCTCGCTATTAATCACACAGGTTAATATTTATAAATATGTCTGATTCAAGTGTGGGTTGTGTCTACCTATATCACTAATTCAAGCGATGAGTTATGATTAAGAGTTTATGATTAAAATGTGGGGGGAAATGTGAGTATTTTTGGATGTGCTAAACTTACAGCAGACTTCAGTAGTGTAATCAGTTCCACTGAACACTCAGGCAGCGTGTTTTACGGTACAGAATATATTGTGGGAATAGTTTAAGGAAAATGTGTCATTTACTCACTCTCACATTGGTCCGAAACTGTATGATCTTTTAAAGAAATATTTTTGAAGACTTAAGAAGCTTTTTTTCCCCCACAGTGTCTGTCAAGGTCCTAAAAGAACAAAACAAAACAAAAAAAACACCATGAAACAAGCAAAAAAAAAAAGTACTGTAGTCCCTACATTTTGTGTGCTATATTCAGTCTACTGAAGCAATACATTGTTTTTATTAAAAATAGATGAAATTTTTAAATCATTATTTACTGAGTCTTTCCCTCTGCTGTAGCCACATCAGAGCTGATGTAATAAGTCTAATCTAATGGTCGATATTGTTCAGAGAATAACTTTGATTTTAGTCTGTTCTTTTTTTAGTAGGTTTTCATTTTTGAGTGATCTATTCCTTTAAATTGTTTTTCAAAAAAAATGTTTGTCTGTGTTTGCCGTCAGCTTTGTAATAATAACCACAACTGTCATTGTAACTCGGGTTGGGCGCCACCGTTTTGTGAGACGTTGGGTTCAGGAGGAAGTTTGGACAGTGGGCCTGTGATCGCACACAGTACGTCAACAGACACTTAATAAAAATTAGTATTTCATTGAATGTTATCTTAAATTTGCCCATTTAGTTTTTGTCTTATCTTGTGCAGGCAATCTTTATCTTGTCCTGGTTCTCCTGATCCTGTTTTTCCTTCTGGGATTGGCTGTCCTTAGTGTCGGTTGGTGCCGCTGCAAACAAAAGCTCCTTCCCACCAAAAGCCCCACCCTTCCTGCTACCCAAATATGCATCAAGTAATCGTCTAAATTCTCAACTGTGAAATGCAAACACGTACATGCAGTGATCTTCATGTATTTGGCACTACTTGCATTAGAAAATGTGTTATTTCTCTTCTTGTCAGTGTTCCAGACACCCCTGAGACTAAAAGTCACACAACAGGTCACGCCAACCCAGTGTTCCTGCCAAAGAAACCACATGCTGATGAACAGGTGTGAAGTTGTTTTGATGTCAGCGTGGGTTCGCAGTATATCCATCCAAAAGCACAGTTTCGTGCATCATTGGCTTTGTTCCGACAGCAAGCAAAAATTTCCTGTATCCAACTCAAATCCATTTAGTTGTTTGTTGTTCAAACGGCAAAAAACCTCATGGAACCAGATCCAAACTCATCCATATCATTGCTGTTATTAAATAAAACTAAAACTATTAAAAATTATTTTCATTAATTGAAATAAAGCTGAAATAAAATACAAAAATAAACAGATGAAAAAACCTATACTTAAAAAAACTTAAATGAAAAATTGGAAATGTTACACTGGCAACTAACTGAAATGAATTAGTTGAATTACTAAAACAGAAAAAGTTTTTAAAACTAATAAAAATGACCAAAGCACAAAACAAAATGACTAAAACTATAATGAAAATTAGAACTGACGATATAAAATATAAAAGCTAATTCAAAAATATTAATAAATACTATAATAGACTACAAATAATACGAAAATAACGCTGGTCCATATGTGTTTTTAAAATCAGATTTTTGGGAATGCACTTCAGTCTGAACAGGCAAGTTAGATTTCAAGTAGTTTATTCTGTCATTTTGGACACAATAGAAACAAACCAAAGCTTTGGGAAAAAACACCCAAGATACTTAAAATGTGTGAATAAAAATCTATTTCAGGGGTTGAATATCAACCCATTCTAAAAATGCAAACTGACATGAGCAGAGAGGGGGGGGGGAAATCGCTTTTCCTGGTTTCCACAATGACAGCCACTCTTATGTCTCTTGGCATTCATTCATTACTATAGCAACTGATGTAGAAATACTGAATATTGATTACTTACAAAATGGCAGTGTGGAAAATACATTTGAATTGGTGCAGCCATTGTCACTGAAAATTACCCGCATTCCACCATCCCAAGAATCCTTGTGAAATGTTTTCATTGTTATGACAAAATTCATTATTCATATTGATATATTTGCATTCTTCAGGCTAGTCCTCGAGCGAGTCCTACAGGTCCACCCAGATCCAGACATTCTGTCGTTCGACCCACTGCCAAGCCACCTCCAATCCCAGCCTACGCTGCACACAAGCAGAGTTTACAACATTCAGAGCCATCCCAGCAGTCTCCATCAGCACCTCCCAAACCAAGACCGCTACCACCCAACAGACCCCCTCCACCCTGTCCCATAACCAAACCCTCCCAGGGTGCAGAGGTGAGTGTCTTCCTCTTGTCATGTGTCCTCCTGAGCAAATGCACTTCTAGATCAGTCATGCAGTGCAATACTTCTTAACAATTAGTCTAACTGCACAATTGTAGTGGATTTTCTTAAATTTTTGGTGTGTCAAGCAGGTTATTTAATCGGCTAAATGTTCTTTCAAGTCTTTGAGTCAGTCAACTCTGACAGTACCAACATATCTTCTGCTAAACGACCATCCACCTAAAAGCATCTGGAGATATGCAGGGCTTAACTTCCCACACCTTTCCATTGTACAGTCTATCCTTGTGGGCCTGACATATTGGATTCTTAACATGCTATGCACTTACCAGAACATCGTGTGACCCAATACTTCACATCCGTCACATAATAAATTAACTGTAATAGTAATAAAATAACATAATAACGAAAATTAACTATGACTGCACATTCTAGAATATTTGTTGTGTTTCTTCCAGATGCTGCCGAATGGCCTGCCAGTGTCACCAGCCATGTTGCAGAAAGGGAAAGCCAATCTGATGCCCCCTACTGGGCCCTTCCAAAATGTCAGGTAATCAGAAGGGAGAAGTCATAGGCTGTGACATGGAACACTAGCGTAGTGTCAGTAATAATAGTTATTGTTATTAATCATTATTTGGTAATACTTGATGAGATTGTGTTTTAGGTTCCAAAGGGAAGTTTCTGGAAAGAGCTGAGTCGCAGTGAAGCTCAATGGAGCGATATATCGATCAACTCTGCACCTTTAAGATGTCCTTAAGAGTCACCAATCAAACTGCCTCACTCATAGTGATGCCCGCCTTATTGACTAGAACACAGAATGAAGGATACCTTCCAAAGTTTTTCAGGGGGTGCAGTTCTACTACTTCTGTGCCATATGTTGCATTTGCTTTTTTATGTCTATTTATTACAGAGACCTCAGAGAAAAGAAAAACAAAAAACTATGAAGTATGGCATTATAATCTAATAAGAGCATGGGTCATCTGAATGAATATCTTGCAACGAGAATATGAAATGTACATTTTTGCACGCAGTAGTAACACATTGTAAGTAAGTACATTATATACATAGAATGAACTGGAAAATGGGAGCAAATTTGTCTAGTCATGAACTAACTTGCACTGTCAGTCCAGTTTAGTTTAGTACTATGGTTAAGCTGTACTCAGGAAACAGCTCTGGAAAGGAATATCCCAAAAAATAAATAAATACATAAATTAAAAAAATAATCAAGAAGATTGTTGTCATAGCAATAATAATTCAAAAACTCATATGAATTGTATAGCACTGGGTTCTTATTTAGGTTGAATTCTGTGTAGTCATATAGTATTTATAGTATGTACTGTATAAAAAGTAAAAAAAAAAAAACGGTCTCGAAGGTTGTTTGCGATGATGCTGGACAAAAAAGGGTTCAAATTACATATGGTGCTTTCTTTTTGAATTCTTAAAGGAGAGAAACAAATATTCTCTAACTAAATTTTTAGATAACGCTTGATTAAATGTTCTGTTTAATACAGACATTAACCCAGAGAATATATTTAGGTTTAAATAACCTATAAACATGTAAATGTGTATCTTAAGTTTATTATTATTATTATTTCTTTGGTTGTCAGTCATTTGGGGAAAAAATCTCTGGACAATTCATTATAATTTCTCCTTGCATAATGTTTTCGAGATCTATGACCAATGTGGTTTTCTGTCAGATTTTTCATGTTGTAGTTAAACTGTTATTTATTCATACTGTTAAGTTTTAAAATGTAATGATGCCTTAAAATTGGGTTTACATGAATGTTATTTTATTGATAATGTTTATCATGAAAATGTTTATGTATTGTGGATGTAAAGAAAAAGAGCCACTGCCATTTTATTTGGCTTAAATTTTAGTTTCTTTATTAAAAAATAAAAAGGTTGTCCTATGCAAAATGCTGTAATGCAGTGCATTCCATGTGACGTCAGAAATACATTTTCATTTTATCTTTATTTATTTTTTTATTTTTTATTTAGTCATTTAGCAGACGCTTTTATCCAAAGCGACTCGATAAAGGTTATCTTTAATCTTCATTTGATTAATCTTAATTTAATCTTTAATCCATCTGATCAATTAATATTTATATTATTATTTATTTTCCTTATTCTTGTTATGATGTTAAATAAGAAAACTGGTGTAAATGCTTGGCGTTGTGGAATATTTATCTATTTTTCTGCCTTTATGCTGAGTTGCACGTTCTACTGCATGAACTACTGCTTATATTTCTGTAATGTAGACTTTATTATAAAGTTAATTTTTCGACCTAGGTGCATCACAGCTTTTCTCCTCGACTTCTGACTTTGTTCGTTATTCTCAGACTATGTGTACCTAAATATAAAAAGAGTTGTTGACGCCTCAAAGTATACATCCAAACCCCAAACGTGTGTCGGAAGTCAACGCCCTCATACGCATGCGGGGGACTTTTATTTTGAAACGTTGAACTTCCTGTCCGTCATTTTGCCAGTACGTGTTGTTCTTGTTCTCGACTGGATACCCCTTGCGCTCGCTTTCAAAAACCCAATTTAACGAAGATTTTTCAGTGTTTTCTGACTTCATCAGCATACCACCAACGAATATTTAATTGAATAAACATGGACCAAATGGAAGACCCTGCTGGATCGGATAATAAACGAGCTATAGAGCGGAAAAGGTAGGTTCTATATTGTAAACAACGGCCTGTTTGCGCTCGGAAGCTTCTAGTGTTTGGATTGCGGCCACTTAACCACTAAAGAAGCTATATTAAATCCAGTATATCGCTGTTAAATGTCAAGAGAGCTGGATTAACGTCAATATATGACATTATATTAACAGCTATTTAATGTTGCACATTAGCTGTTGGGAACGGTTAGGTATTTGTCATTATGACTGGTGTATTATGACCTCGAAGCTCCAGTAGTACAGCACTTATTTATTATTATATTTTTTTTTCCAAGTGCAGTACATCAGTTGAGGTCTAAACTATTTATTTAATGATTCTTTTTTTTTTCCTGGGTGGTGATAGTTTACGCGTCATGGTGTTTTGCTGTATTGCTATTATTTATAGTACTATGATAATAGACCATGATAAAAATTTCCCAAGGGAGGGACCTGCATTTTTATGACGCAGCACTGGCTACATATTAAAACCGCTGTTTTCTTTCCTATTTATAGGAGTTGAAGATGCCAAAGGAGGATTTCAGAGAGGACAAGCTTTCAACATCAGCACCGTCCATCACTTTGTCCCTCCCCTCATCCCCTAAACATCAGGCACAGGTGGAAACACTGGTTCACAGCCACGTTTTGTAGTTATAGATTGTGTTCAGATATATAATTGGATTTGTGGCATACAATAGAACAAAATGCAATGCAATATATTATTGTTAGTAATATTATAATTAAGTAGTATACTGATAATTTATCTCTTTGTCCCTGACAGGCACTAGTTTAGCCAGGTACCTCACCCCAATACTCCATTTAAGTCCAGCAGTTTCATCACAAGCGTTTCGATGGGAGGTAATGAAGGTGGTGGACAGGGAGGAGAGCGATGGAGCCTCTTCGGGGTGCGGCCCATCGTGCAGAAATCCCCCACTGACCCAGGATCAGAAACCAACACACCTGGCAAGAACCTGTTATACGGATAAATTATTTTAGGTTTTAAAGATGCCTAATTATACACTCAGATTTGTTTGTTTAACCTTTATGCAATATTTGTTCTGCACCAAGATTTATTTTTTTTATTTTGTTGTGTCATTAATTATATTATTGAATATTATACTATATTTATTTATGAAAATTGCTTCTGTACTAATATTTTTCAGTGTATATTATCGCCTAGCTCTAATGTGGTAAATGTGACTCAAAGGCATGAAGAAATTAAGATGATATAAACATTAACATCATGTGTATTGTGAAAAGTGCTGTATACATTTTGGGAAATTCACAATAAGACCAGGAATGTGTTAATGTAAACATTTTTTCCTGCTGTTTCCATGACTACAGGGGGATTCATGCTGCAATCGTACTTTGGGGTTCAGAAGTCCAATTCAATAGATGGCATGAAAACCCAAATAAACCTCACGGTTGACGATCCCGCCAATTTCAAATCTCCCAAGATCGAGATGAGCGGCGAGGACGAAAAGAAAACATCCTGTCACAGACTGAGACATCGAGACATGAACATTCTCACTCCTTCCGGCTTCTGAACTCCACAAGTCTTGAACTCTCCTAAGCTTCCTCGCTTTTATATACACATTATAGCACAAAATGGCACTTGCTATTTTATGGTCTCTTGTGAGTAACACCACACCAACTTATCCTGTTTCCCCATATAACTTTAATAGAATTTCCCTTTAAATTAGATAAGAGCTGTAGAATCTCTTAAATTAGTGCCGAGCTTCATTGATAGTTGTTTTTATGTTCCCCTTACCCCAAAAAGACCGCTTTTTTTTTTTTAAACGTTTTGAATGTTTGTTTTTTTTTATTACTGTGTGCTATGACAAAGTGATTGCTTTTGATTATTGTGGTTTAAATCTACCACAGTAAAAACCTATCGAAAATATCAAAATATGCATAATTATCAATAAGCTTGTGTTTTTAGGTGTGAGATGCACTCACAAGTACATCTGTTAACAGTAAATCTGAATTTTGTGGATCATTTTGTAAGCTTGTGTATACATGTTTCATCAGCATTTTGCATTAGATTGATGGATTTCATCAGTGCACGTGTTGTAGTTATATAGCACATCAACAGAATAACATACTGTTGCGCACATCTGTTTATTGCCACTGTAAAACATGCAATCTAAAAGTCAGATTTGACTAAGCAGTCAGGTATCCATCTTTCAACATAGTTGAAACATGTTTAAGTGCCATTTTTTGTGACTTAACTGAACTGCTTATTTAGTTCAGGTTACTAATTTATTTTATTAATTGATGACATTAACGTGGTATTTTATGTTGTGTGGTTCCCCGTGTGCAATAAGAAGCATTGTTTGTATCAGCATGCTGAAAGCACCTCATTTCTATCACTGGGTTTCACACTCATTTAATTATTATATTTTTTACATTTAACACAAAAGTATTTTTTTATATAGTTGCTTTTGCATCTCAGGCCAAATTGTTTAACACCAGTCACGTGTTGTATTACCATCACATATTACCTGTTCATATTGCTCAGTTTGGGTATTTGATTCCTATAATAAAACATCGCTGTCAAGCACAATAAAATTTTTTGATTGTGATTGTATTTGATTTATTTTAGAAACAGTTTAATCATGTCATCATGATTTTTTGAATTTTATTTATGATTATTTCAATGTTCCCTGGGGTTTACTTATGTTCATTTGTTTTATGTTAATAGTGTTTATAAATGCTTCTGGAAGTAAATTAAGGACAAAAAACTTTTTAAACAAAAAAGTATGTTGAACTGCATAATTGAAGAAAAAAATGCATTGCATTAACAGTGCTTGAAATAGTTCAAATTCGGCAGAATGTTCAAATTCGTTTTAGAAACAGTTTAATCATGTCGTCATGATTTTTTGAATTTTATTTATGATTATTTCAATGTTCCCTGGGGTTTACTTATGTTCATTTTTTTTATGTTAATAGTGTTTATAAATGCTTCTGGAAGTAAATTAAGGACAAAAAACTTTTTAAACAAAAAAGTATGTTGAACTGCATAATTGAAGAAAAAAATGCATTGCATTAACAGTGCTTGAAATAGTTCAAATTCGGCAGAATGTTCAAATTCGATTCTAACTCGGTAAAATATTCAACTTTGAATATCCGGGAACTACAGGAACAGCACTAGCAGTAGCGTACTCATGCATAATCTCCAT